TAAATGTGTTATGTTCGGACAAATACAAGCAGTTTGTATTAATACTATTCATTTTGCCACAAGCAATGTTAAATTTCGCGTGATTATAGCTTATGGATGACCTTGTGAAATATCGGACAATCAGAAAACATCTAGTATGCAATTAAAATATATTATAAAAAACCAAGGAATTAGAGTGGATACACTTCTTTTATATGGTTTAAAGACTTGTCAATGTTACAAAGAGGTTCGGATGTTCTAAAATCGTAATACATGCGGTAGAGGAACTCGTCCACATGGCTCGATAATAGTCGGTCTCTGGAGCCATGATGAGGTCACAAAAACACGAAAACACCACATAGCTTCAATATCGCTAGTGTGCACTTCAGTTGTTGGATCTATAAAATGGAACCTGTGGATAGCGATATGATACACATAGCCAAGTCTATGGAGGCATCTGTACGCTCTCCAACCATCCGTATATACCTTAGTAAGCCCTAAATTATCACATCTTTTATAAAATTCGCTTTAAATCGATCATACTTGAGAATCAGGTAATAAAATTGGTGCTGTAACTTTGAAACCCTTCAAATCCTCCCGATTGGCTCGTTCATAAATGATAATCTCACCCCAGTCCAGAGTTAAATGAAACTCAGAATTTTTGTGAGCCTAGGATTTCTAATCAATCAATTTCTCATTGGATTTCTCATGTTATTGTACCAGATATTGTTTTTTCTAATGATTTATATATTTTTGATCAAATTCCTGACAAGTCTGAGGATAATATGCCCAGTGAATCAAATCATAATTGAAAACCTGATGCAGGTTTGATGGATGCTGATTTTTCTAATGATTCATTATACTTTAATGAAATTCATAATAAATTTGAGGAAATTATTTCAGAAGAATCAAATCTTGATGTCACATCTAATATTATTTGTCCTCACATTGGATCTATTTCCAGTGATATTTCTTATGAAGGTGACATAAATGTTCCGGATGAGTCGAATTCTAGTCACATTTCCGAAATTACTGTATCAGATGTCGGATATTTTCACAATACATGTATAACAAGTAGAATTCTAGTCAGCGGTACAATGAATCAAAGGGAATTTTCCCCAAAGCCGTCAGAGAACCAGTTTATCCAGATATAAAGTTTGCACATGCAGCGAATACAAATCAAGTTAAGAGTATCCTAATGAGTATGAGGCAGATGAATATTTTCCATTTGATTATTTAGCAGGTGAATCAAGCACAGATGAAACACATATGTTAATTACACATATCAATGCATATTCAATAATAATAATAATTTATTCTCAAATAACAGTTTGTTACATGAAGCATTCCAGTTTACGGGCAAGATCAAATTGGTACAAATGATACAATTTCCACTGTATTAAATTACTCAACTGGGTTGATAATTTATAGGATGAGAATGTAGATGGTTTTGGTCAGTTTCACAGTTGGCGCGCTTCATGGAAGTTGCGTTGCGACGTGCAACGGCACAGTACGACCGTAAGGTTATGGGTTTTCGCGCACGTGTAACATATTCTCGTGGATTTTTGTGTCGTTATTTATCAAATATTAACAGGCTTTTTTCCATCTCACGTACCTTTTTGTATTGTTTATGGTTGCTACATAGTTTTTGTTCCAATTTATTTGCAGTTTGACGTATTATTTGCTTACCAGATTAGTGACTGTTTAGTAAGCCTAATTAGGTTATTTGCAACAATAAAAACTCAAGCAAGTAAGATTCACCATTTTTCAAGTTATAAGATAGGTCACAGATTAAGTTTTCAAGGAAATAAGCTCTAAAACATTAAATATGGTTCACCTCGTTTATTGTGGTGATGATGAACATGGATGTTTGTAGTTGTTTATGAAATGTAAGGAACAAGCAATTAAGCGTTAATCCATTTATGAATATTATATAACTTGTTAATATTTAGTCATAAACAGTTATACCTATCATAAGTATCATCGCTTTTTACTTAAATGACATAGTATTATGTAAGGCATATGAGAAGAATTATGTGAGTAACAATTGACGTTGATAGTCATTTCCGTCCGCTTTCTTAACGTATACAGGAACAGTATATAGTACCACTGGAAGTGTCACATTAAGTAGTCACAAAGTGTTCATAAGTAAAACGATTTGTTTCTTTTGGGCAAGGTTGTGTGCTATAACTATTCTGAACGGCTCCAATAATGTCGTTATAATTTCTTATGTCTTTTATATATATTGTTAAATATTCCGTTTGTTGGTTTCTCTACTTCATTTTTGGTTCGGCTTGATGCATTGGATTGATATCTTTTGATGTTGATTGGGTAGCCGTTCTTTTGAAAGATAGTCTTAAGATATCTTCTTCCAAAATATATGTAAAGGTGTATGAAAATGGTTATTTTGTCTGAAAATATTGTTTGATATACTCATTGTTGTCATAAACATTACAATAGTGAGCTTCAAAACCGAAATACTTCTGATACAGACAAATTAAACTTAGCTATCAATCTGTGTGTTGGTTACTAAGTGATTGAGTGTCGTCCCCATTTGTGCTCCGGTTCATTTTCCGTCAAGTATATTTCACTACTGTCTTATTTATTTCTGGTTTGGTCAGTTTTGTGAATCAAAGGAAAATCTTTATTTACAGGCGAATATAGAGTCACTATATAACTGACTATAGTAATAAGTTTTGCGACTTTAAAAATTTTACTATTTATTTTGATCCGGATTTTACCCAATAATCTTCTGGATGTAAATCATTCTAAACAAATATCGATTGGTCGAAGTTGTTTGGCTATCGCTTCACGGATTTTAATTGCCGTTTCTGGAAATATTTGGTCGTTTCTCTCGTGATGCCGAACACTCGTCAAAGAAAGTCAAGTTCAAAGCACGGTGTTAAAGGAGCTAAACTAAATGATGGATCCCCTCTTACAAAGCAAGTACCTTTTGATGTCCTTAAGTGTCATGGTTCAGACTCAAGTAGGGTTGATTATCATGATAGTGAGTCTAGTTGTGATTTAGTGGCAGATGACGTGGAAAATCCTAGTTCAGGTGTAAAGCAAGCGAAGAGCGTCATGCCTGTGACACCTTTCGTAGGTCTAGAGTTACCAAAGGTTGAATTAAGTTATTTCGATGGACAGCCAAGAGAGTACTGGAAGTTTATAAGGCAGTTTGAAACCTACGTAGCGTCATTTCACCCGATTACTTTGTTTTGGTTTCAAACGGGCAAGGGCGCGTATCTAGCCCACCAAGACAGCTATTCTTCAGTCCAAACCTTAGTTTGGATCTTACAGTTCTAAACAAATATAACCACCCAGCTATCCAACCAACAATAGTTCAATTAATCAAATCAATCGCAACAAATAAATGTTATTCTATCCTGACAAAGCCATCTCCTAGTTAATACTGAAACCAATAACATTTCATTTAAATCACAAACCTGGTATGAAGAAATGTCATGAGACTGTGAAGCGTTCACAGTAATATGATTTTCCGTATATGTTCTGCAGATTACCGATGAATTTCTATTAACGGAATCCGAAATCTGTTGTGAATAACAGTGTTGCAAATAAGAGATTTATAGGTACATTCTGTTACCTGCTATTTGATGAACTTAATGAATATGATACGGCTAAGTAAGCTTAATTGTTTGTTTCAAGACTGATTTTTTTGTTCCTCAGTATTGTTAATATCACAACTATACTCAGTGTTTTACATTATAAATCGTGTGTGTAAAAACAGTGTATATGATATTAGAACAAATATTGATGCAGAGTAATACGAATACATTATAATTCACGGAATTAGCAAGTAATAAGATGGGTTACGTAATAATTCATTTCATTTTTTACAGTTATATAGTGATCTGTTAAAGTACCCTGTCACTCATCCACGCTTAATTGGTCCTATTCAAATTCTACGTAACCCAAATTATCAATTTTTAAATGCAAGGATCCTTTATAACCTATAAAATTTTCACACCACTTAGCCGTCTGTGAACTCTACTCGACCCACCCACCCTTAATGTATCCTTTGTTCTATAAATAAATGACCTTTGACCTGCATATATGCATTGTCATTATTGATGACCTACGTTATTCCAACTATTTATATTTACTTATATCAACTGCTTCATACCTAAATGTTAAATTGTGATGCACATTTCGTTGTAAGCAGCTGAGAAGAAACCACGAAATACAATGAATGCCTATTCAGTAAGATTTTACGTCCTTCTTAATTCTTACAGACACTGACTCGTGGACAGTATCCCAACAACGAAGGAATAAGAGGAGAACGAAAATTATGAAGTACTTTATTTAACTTTTTAGCATAAAAACTTGTTTACAGGTTATCATTAATAATTCTTAAATAATAACTGTTCACTTTCTTCTCAACTTCCGTTGAGAAACTTTCACCATACTTCCATAGGATATGACACCTGTTAATCTTTTGGCTTCGCAGAACACTTATATACTCATTTCTTTGTGTCGATAGTGCTATTGATGTGTCATTTTGCAAGTTATTGGTAACACGTAACTTCCACCTACAGTACATAAGAAGTTCATTAGCTATACAGTTTATATTTTAAAATCAATAAAGCTTACCTGAAAGAGTTCGTCTTTTAAAATATACGAGTAGCAGATGGCGGCATGGGTATCGACACATAAGAAATGTACTGCATTCACATTCAAAAGTATTTAGATCCACTGCATAATGCTTCCTGCAATCAACAATAGACACCCAGTCTCCGGCTTCATATCTCACAGAAACAAAACGCATATGTTTAAGTTCGTATAAAAATTTACGTCGCGCGTATGGCGTAAGCATTTTCAACAACGGAATCAAACGCTGTGGGGCGTCATATGTACACGACCTTGAGGTTGTTATTTGATCTTCAATATTTTTTGTAGATGACGTCATTGCACTCCATTTCATAACTTTGTGTATGCATTTATATAAACTATCTGTTCTTTTCACATACCTTTTAATCTGACGGTTGAGAGACTCAACACGATTATGTGTTATTGCCCAATGTTAAAACATTGCCGTAAAACACTAGAGCCCACATACTTTTACGCGACATCCAAAATCGATGAAGATATTGAGCTAGCTGCCTGTCCCTTTGGTTAATTATTCTGAAATATTGATTAAATCTAGTCAATAAATACATTTAAAAAAAATACCGTCCAACTGTTTTAGCGTTTACCAATCGACTGAGGTACGTTCTCACAATTTTGTCACGTGTCTAAGGGCAATGTTATGTAAGTAACTATTGGTGTACCTTTTTGCGGAAAGCGCGGATTACGTGAAAAGCGCACAGAATAATGTTTGCGTGCCCGTGTGTGATACGGACAGCCGTGCTTTCTGATCTTGTACAGTCCATAACAAATGTTTCTGTCCGTCTTGTTGTTCCCATGATTTCTTTGAATTTGTCTAGAATCCAGGTGACATCTGCACGCATTTCCTTTAGCGTCCAGGCAAACATGACCGTACGTCCTCGACCAAAGTTATCCGTTACAACCAACTGAAATAAGGAATATCTACAAAATAGAATACAAGCAAAAGAACAATCACTTCTTATTATTGGTATTATAAGTAGAATCAATGCAAAAAACTTCCGGATATTCATTGTACAAGTGCATTTGGTCATAACTACTGAAACATATTCTCGTTACATATCCATTTTCTAAATGTTACCTAACTTCACCTTTCTGTCGCAGCAAATCCATAACATTTTTACGCGTACAACAACCTGAAATATACTTTTATACACTTACCTGTAGAGAGTTCAGCTTTCATAGGTTCGCTAAGGTCGACCGAAATGTCGCTTGAGCACGAAGCACTACAAACAGAAATCACTGTTTATAAAAAAATAATTCCTTGAAACAGTAATAACTCAAGGAAGAACTATAAATACTTACGATTTACCGTTGATTTGACATTTCGTAGAGGTTTACTACAGCAGTTGAGACCACAGATCAAACTACGAAGCAACAACAGAGCCAACGTGTACACTACAAGAAAGAGAATGCTAAATTAATACGTTTGATAATTATTTTGTGCTTTTCAATGCAGCAAAACATGACTTAATTATGAAAAAACTTGACACTCATGAAACCCAACCAACCCACGGCAATTGTAACTCGTGTATTCAGCAGTCACTGGAGCGAGCGGGATGATCTAAAACCACAAACACACAATGTTAACTGAGTACTTCACAACACAGGGAGAACACGGAATGGAACCACCAGTGATTTATTTCAAAATCCAATTTCGCGGGAATGTACAGAAAAAGGGGGGTTAGTTTACCAAACAGTCTTATGCGTCATTCTGCAGGCTCAGTGCATGCAAGGCTTGTTCTTCCTCTTCTAAAGCGTTTACTCTCGATCGTCCTGCAATAGAAGGAAAACAGAATCCATTAACACAATATACATAATGATTTTGATACTGTTACACAATAGAAATACGGAATGACCGCTTCTTGTCAGGCTGTTCAAGGTCGTTGAAACGAAAGCGCGGGCAGCTTCAAACGGTCATAACGTTTTTCCTGTGCCCTGGGTAGGAAGTGAAACCTATTCAACTTCCTACACACGATTTATTGAGTTATTCTGCATGATAAATCAGCATCAGTACCACTAGTTCGTGACATTCCACTAGACCATAAGAAGCCGTAATTAAACAAAATGTTCTGCCCTACAGACATGGGTGGATTGAAGTTATTTGCCCACCATCATGTTTACTGGTCAGTAACGCCTTCCTTTCTCCTTTTACTGTCTTAACCAAAGCCCATAGTTTGAATACACTGTCCTTACTAGTTCCATGTTACAAGCAAATCAGATAGTTAAAGCGTTTATATTGTGGGTTAGATGTCCATTTAGTATATCACACTGCTATAAAGATAACTAATGGTGAAAGTTAAAAAAACAGGTTAGAGTATATGTGGTTTAAAGATAGTAAGGACTAATAGCAAATCAACGGATATGAAAGAGTATAAAATTGCAAGGTTTTTAGGGTAAGAAACATAAGACACTTAGCGACTCACAAGACTTGATGATCAATTTTGAGCTTCGTATGGTCGGCCTTAGTAGATCAGCATCCATAAGATTAGTGAGTTATCTGTCTATTTGCAATAGAAAAAAAGACATGACACTTGGGAAGAATAATGTATATTTAACCAGTAGAGAGATTTGGGAACTGAAAGTGAGGGTTAGGAGCATAAGGCCTTGATTAATAAACAATGAATAATAGGAAGGGGTAAACCATATGTCCCGTAATTTAGCTGTATTCATATTATTAATAGTCGGGCTCGTTATATTCCTGCTCCGTCTAGATACTAGGCGATCCATAATAAAGTGCTTCATTGGTGGGCTTCTTGTGTAATTAATCCCTAGATTATGTACTGATTTGGGTGTTTGGACTCTACTTTTATTTAAGTGAAGTTTTAGTTTATAGGGATGCTTTCCAAACTGCATGATTCCGCACTTCTCGAGGTTACATGGTAATTGCCATTTTTTACTCCAGATAGTTAAGTTATTGAGGTCATTTTGGATCACCAATACACTTCCGCTTAAAGTCTTGGCCTTATGGCTGTATACTATTTCAAGATCATCAGCATATAAGTCTGGTTTCTCAAATATTATGGTGTTACATATATCGTTTATACGCATAAGAAACAAGAGTGTACCTAATACGTTTCCCTGGATGACTCCACTAGTTATGGGTTTAGGTGATGAGAGACAGTCATTGTACTTTACAATCTGTTTACGTTCAATTAAGAACGAGGCAAACCATGAGTACAGTGTGTTGTTTATTCCAAAAGATTTAGTTCGACGAGAAGCCCTTTATGTGGGACCTTATCAAACGCTTTCTTTAAGTCTAAGAATAGGACTGGTACAAGGAGTACATTGTCTCTTTTCAGAGTTATATCATTCAGGTAGTCTACTAGGCACGTAACACATGATCTTCACCTAAGAAATCCATGCTGGGAGGTCGAGATGAGATTATTAGTAAGTGAATGTTGAACCACAACAGCCTTAACTACTTTATCCATCACTCTAGATACCACTGGTTATGTTTATGGGTCGGTAATTGTCAACAGTTGCTTCAGGTCCTGTTTTAATTTTGGGAATGATATATGTAGTTTTCCAGGCAGTAGGGCAACACGCTGTAGAGAGTGACATCGCAAATAGTTTGAGAAGCGAAACGCACATATCATCACCTCCACGTTTTAGCATGCTAGCTGGAATACCATCTGGTCCATCGGTGTATGAGTGTTTCAATGTACTGATTGCCTTAGAGATATTTTGTGCATTGAAGTGTACATTAGTAATTTCACAGGGAGGTACTGCGATTGGTTCTGAATCGTTTGGTGGTTTTTCGTTAGTTAGTGAGAAACAAAATTGTTCACTTAATAGTTTCGTAACAATTTTCGAATCTTTGTATACTTGTTTGTCTTTAATAAATATGCTCCTCCTCGATTTAGAACGCTTAAGTTTATTTTGAAGGAGCATGGTGAGTGAAGAGGAGTTATTATTAAGCTCGACTGCAAGTTTTTCCTGTGCGACTGCTTTTTATGTACTTATCGCCTCTGTTCGGACAAATATTTCTGTCATCGTTACTAAAGAGGAAAGGTCATTAAAGTTGCGGAATCGAGTACAATCTCTTTGAAGACGTCTGTGTATTCTAATATGAAAAGCAAAAGGAATATGAATCATAGTCTTTATGCAAGTCGAATTCACATGATGATATGCCGTAAATTACATGTCACTGTGTGTTTCCAAATACTCACATATAATATAAGAAGATAATCCAAATCGAAAACGTCAAATTGGTCATAACATTGCGACGTAAAGACCCAACGTTGTTTCATGGGAGAGAATAGTGTGGTAAAGTCAATGATTCATGTTCTGGACATCATAGGTTTCAGTAAAAAATCGACATGGCGATTGCATACAATTCCAGGGTCCAGATAAGGCCGTTCAGACTACGTTTGTTAATTCTAACACGAATAAGTACATTCTAGATCAAACGAAGTCCATATCCAATTCACAATCGGACAGAAAGATGACGAACCTAAGGAGAAGAAGTAAACTTGATTGCGGAAATGTGGATTCTCATTTAAGCTGTTTTTGATGTGGTGTTTGCATGAAATAGCGATTCCTCTGTACTTGAGGACGGCCTGATTCCTAATTACAAATACAATACGTCCGCTCGTTCTCATCTAGTACTTATGGGTCAAACTGCATTATTTCTTGAATTCCTAGTTGGTGCTATAATTCAAACCTTCAAACTATCAAGTGTCATACCAGTTGTTGCTTCTAAAATCGTGTAATCCATACTGGCCAGATTCCCTAAAATTAAAGGATGTCTAGAAGCTCAGAAATTTTGCCTGACTACGATAGGTATGCGTTGTAGCTAAGCTTATTAGGTTTAACCAACTGCCTCGTCTGGCGTAATAAATAAGTGGGTGACTTGTAACCTAACTCTCACTTTTGCACCAATTTTTGCATCTTTTTTCATGCGATACTGAGGTACGTTGAATAATAACCTGCTTCAACTGATTACAAGCATCAGATGAAGGGACATTATCTGTAAATTGTGACACCTCAGATTCTATCTTGGTCCATAGGACTTCAAGAAAACAAATATTTTGATGTCTGTGAATGTATGTTACGACGCTAGAAATGAACTTCCACATGAGTGTGTAAATCTGTTAAATTGCTACCCTAGCTAATGCCTTTAGAATCAGAAGAATACATTGTAAATATAGAAAAAAATTCACTAATAAGAACAAAAATAACCCTGTGGTTTTTGTGAGTTAATTCGAAATCACAGTTTCGAGAAAACTATACAGACTCACCAGGTTTGTGGTGGATCCCAGCAAAAGAGCTTATTCAAGGCACATTATCCATTGAGCCAGAGGCTACTATCCATACATACAGACACAACAGCCACCTCACAAGACGCTCACCATTCTCACTCAGTAGAACAATCTCTGTGTTCAGGAACAACGGTACTAGGTTGATGAACCCGTACTAACCCTGAAAGTTTGCCTTCCAGTGAAGATCCAGCTTCTCTTTAAAGATATTCACTGAAGGGACTGACACCACTTGTTCGGGTAGGATTCTAGACCACTTAGTTGCGATCCATCGGCAGTGGACCGTAATCTTAAGATCATGAATCGCTGTCACCCAAGTCAGTCAGTCAACTACAATGTAGAACCAGGCACATATATGCATCGGTCCAAGTTGCCACGTCTCAATAACATAGCAAAATGAACACCAAATTCATAGGGGTAGTTACTTCAATAGTAGAAATATATAAAAGAAAGCTTATGTATAAGGATATAATACAGGGAAGACAAAGTGCATACACGAACACCATTGTGATTGATTCTGAGCCATGTCACCAAGAGTCTCCAATCATTGGTTAGAATGGTCACGCGGACCCCAACCAAGTAGTCTGCATCTATCAACATGGCTCAGACCAGAAGTTAGTGACTTCAAGCACTGATGCCACGTTTTGGTTTGGCCGCCCCTGAGTTTCTTCCAACCATCCCCAACACTAGTCAGCATTGTGTATCGTGGTAATCGGTGCTCAGGCATACGTAGCACATGACCCAACCATCTC